CGGCCTTAATTGTTAGAATTTTATGGAATACATGTTCCCACCACCGGTCATCATTGCTAGAATTCTGAGGAATATAGATTCTCACCACTAGCCTTCATTGTCGGAATTCTGAGGAATACATGTTCTCTCGATCGGCCTTCATTACCGTAATTCTAATAAATTTCGGTTATTTTGCTTCCTTTGTGCGTCTAAGACCGAGGTGAGATCGAGCAGGAGGGCTCCTCTCACGTGTAATGTCGAGAGTCGACCGAGCAAAAGTGAGAGAAGTCAAGCGTAGGACCTCCTCTTGTGTATGTATGGAAAGAGCTGAGAGTTCTCTCTCATGAGGGTCTAGGGCCGCAACAAGCAAGAGTGCAAGACCTGTACTCTTTCCACCTGTCAGACCTGAGAGATCATAGGCCTTAAGTGCGCATGTACGGGGTCGATCGAACATGAGTGTTATGTTGGAGTCAGACGATTGATTTGCATTGGGAAGAAGGATGGATCGATCAGACGGGAGGAGATTTACGTGCTAAGTGCTAAGCCGCTTGAGACGTTTTTTCTGCTGATGTCCTTAAAGCTTGACGCAACCGTAAAAATAGATTTTTTCCTACTGTCGTGCCTTCATTATCGGCCTTTCCTTGTGGTTGCTATCCTATCTATAACCAATGCAGCCTTCATTGTTGCCCTGCTTAATATAGCCTTCATTGATGCTCTTTGCTGCCACAATGTTTGAAACTAATTTCTCCTAAAGTTTTAATCAAATGGAGGATTCTATAGTCCACCAAGGGATTTGATAACTCTACTTTTTTGGGACTAATTACCAAGCTGGGAATGGTAGATTTGTATTCTCCAACTTGAGGGGGAGTGTTAAAATCCCAATCTTCCCTTCGCCCTTGATCTCACGGTTAGCATGAGGATCTGTGGGAGGCTCACCTAGATCACGCTGTTAAATCTCAGTCGTCCCTTAGCCCTTGATCGCACGGCTAGCATGAGGATTCGTGGGAGTCTCACCTGGATTACGTCAATCTCCTTCTATATTTGGGTGGTTGATTTAGGAAGGGTTATATTAAGACAATTATGCATGATTCTGTAGTTATTTGTTTCTATATTAAGGCATCTTGTATGAATCTATAAATAGGAATAGCTTGTATAATAAAATTAACGCTTTTCCCTATCCAATTTTCTGAATTTAACATTTATAACCAAAAATCTGAATAATTATTCAAGATATTAATCACATACTCTTTGATTTCAAATATTTATATGTTGGCGAGCTTCAATATGATATTTATTTGATTACCGGATCGTATTTACATAACTTACTAAATTATAGGATAAGTTCAAATGAACATACTGAATCTAAAAGACAATTACATGGTTTGATTTAAAAAATGGTTTGTTAGAAAGAGTTTGAATGTTATGCAATTCCAGCATAATTGCATTTATGAAATATGAAAGTTGGCACATTGGTATTAAGGATAAAGCAGAAATATTATATTTATGATAGGAAAGTTTATGCAAATGTACAAAGTTTTTGATGTTTGGTATATAATCTTTTAGTTAGATGTTTGTGCTATTTTTTGATCCAACAATTCAATAGCTAGATTTACAGTAGAAATGAAATCATATATATACATGCCAAATGGGTAGAATGTTTACGGGAATATACTATACCCGTGGTTTATTACATTCAATGTGTTCAAACAGTGTTGGGATGGAAAATAAGCTTGACGATGCATTAAGTAAATTTGCCATTATTTTATATACAATGAAAATTAAAGTGCTGGTTTTGATTATATCATGCTTGATTATTCTACTTCTATGGATGTCAATAAAATATATAATGCTTTAAAAGATGAGTTACATATGTTTAATACAGAATTTATAATTAAAGAGAGCTGTTTTTTTTTATTCAAGGGAACTGATCTATATATATTGATGATCTTTTAAAGATATTCACTTATTCTGGAATTGCATGACATTTTGGTAGAGATACAACTTAAGCAATTACTGGCCAAAATTTAGAGGAGATGTAGCACAGATAGTGTCACAATACAGATTTTATCATAAAATTAATTTAAGAAGAGATAATATTTGGTTATACACACCGTGGCCTATTCCATATGAATCCTGGGAAGATGTTTGTATGGATTCCTGATAGGATTGTCTCAGAAAATACAATTTTATATTTGGTGGATTGTTTTTCTTAATGGCTCACTTTATTCCTTGTAATAATATTGATGCTGCATGATTTATAATAAAATTGTATTTTAAGAAGGTTTTTAAATTATATGATTTACCTAAAATGTATCAGAGGTGTAAAATTTATAACTTATTTCTAAAAAAATCTATGAAAGAAGATTGAAAATTTGTTAAAATTCTTAAGATGTCTATTACGATGTTTGATAAAATAGCATGTAATCAGTTGAGATTTTTTTCATCTATATGATCAAGTTCACTTACATTTGTTAATCAATTTACAAACTTGAGCTCATTTGAAACAATCAAATGATTTCAACTTGCTTAATTACAAAAACTATATATCTTGTTGGACTTTAAATTAAATTTAGACATTGTGAATTTGTGTAATTATTTGTACAACATAGGCATGATTTGTATGAAAGCATTCAAACTAGTTGTTAAATACCACAGATTGAAGTCTATTGCAGATGCAAACAAAATAAATGTGGAATTCAATTCTAGTGATAAAGTAAAAACTCATTTAAATCTTGAATGATTTCTTATAAGAACTCTTAAGAGAATAATTGTTTGATAAATAGGACTATAGAAAGTCATCCACCATATCTAGTCAGATGCTTGTAAGTTATAAATTTTATAAAATTTTGGTATTAGTTCAATTCTTAATATATTTGGTTTGATTTTATATCATGAATCGTCAAATATTGCCTTTAATTCTTCTTTATTTCCATCATGTACTTTGTGATTCTCATTCAACATTTTCATGACATTCATATAATCTCATTTGGTAGAAATTATTACAAAATGATGAAATGGATTTTATACTTATGGTCAAATTTAAATCTGTATTGACCTTAGACCTCCATCGAAGTGTAAATTTAAATCAAACCTTCAATTTGAATATGAGCTTAACATAAGTTGGAATTTATGGTTGTATTTGGGTTTCAGTATGAGCTTCTCATACCCACTTAACATGCTAGTTTGTTGAGCATTTCTTAGTTTGAATCTCAAGGAATTGCATGTTAAGATTCCTTCTCTGTAACTATTCAACATGACATTTATTTTAGAGGTAAGGATCAAAATGGCCCCCTGGCTTCATCCGAAGGATCAAAATAGTCTCTGACTATTAAAAATCTCATTTAGTCCTTTGATTTTTTAAATAGGGACCTAAATGATCCCATATAATGACTAATTTGGTCCCTATTTAAAGAGTCAAGAGACAAAATTGATACTTTTATATAGTCGGGGATTATTTTGATCATTAAGAAAAATGTGGGGACCAATTCAGTTATTTTATCATTTATTTTGTATTTATTTCTAGATGTATTGAATTGTAAAATTATAGAAAGAATATTATGAGCTTGTTGAAGTGTATAAATTGGTTCATGTAATCTTTATCAATGACTTTCTCTATCAAAGCCTGAGTCCTTGGGCATTCTCCACCTTATTGATCTCATAGGTAGAAAGATTATGATGTTTATCATTTTACTATTTCGACTTCTATTCCTTAATGTCATTGTTTGTCTCTATGGCATATCTACTAGTGTCAAACAAATGGGGGTTTGTCATATTTAATATCGGAGAATTTATGGAGCTTTATGAGCACAAATTGACGATGACATAAAAAGAAGTTTTTGGGATTTGCACTCTAACAAATTGTTTGGGATCCTAGTTGTTTTTCTTATGGCCAATTCTATGAGTTTTCTTGCAGTTTGAGTAGCTCGTACTTCATGTTATTTGCTTTGTATTAGGATTTACAGCTGTTTTCTTTAGTTTTGTCATTAGTTTGCTTATTAGGGAATTTTTGCACTTGAACTTTATTATTTGACATTTCTAATAGATTTATTGTCTTTTTTTAAATTTTAGAAGACCAAATAGGTTGTCCAATAAATTTAACTTAAAATGATTCAAATTAGAATTCGTCATAGTTCCTCAATTAAATGATGCATGCTAAAACAAAATGCCTGTCCATCCATATCTAATCGTTCCTTTCCCCTTTTATGCTACTTGGAGGATGAACTTTGGTAATGAGTGAAAAAGTTTTTTTTTTCAATTTTGTTTTGGCATCTAATTTATCACTATATATTTATGTTGGCTAGACTTCAGAATTTTGACTTTGCTTAAAACTTTATTCTAGGTCTTAATTGCATTTTATTGTCATTGTTATGCTCTATGTTCAATGAGAATTTATCCTCAATATTTATGCGCTTCGATTGTATTGTTTTTGGATTTGTTTTGTATTTCATAGTCATGCTTTCTGTTTATGAACATTAGAATATATATTTCATTGGTCACGTGACTTGAGGCGTAGCCCTTCATTCCTTGATAAGTAAATGCATTGCATTATGGTTTTGCCTTTAGCAACTGGTCTTCATTATGTTTATTTTAATGATGTTCTTGTCTGTTATATTTTGACATAGCCAGAGCCCGCTCCTTTGATTTACTTGTCATTTTTATGTTAATATTGGAAATAGGGTCTTTGCTCATTCTGAGTAAGATGTGTATTTCTCGACTCTCATGAAACCCTTGCCTAGTGTTTTTTTTTTCTAATTTGTAGAATTGTTAATCCTTTTTTTTCCTTGTTTTTAATATTAAACATTTAGAGTTTATTTTCAGATTGTTTGGTTAGTTCACTATCCCCACATGTTAGTATTTTAAACAATTGAAAAGAAATGTCTTACTCATATTCATTTGTAAACTTTGGATCCTGGTGTAACGGATATATTTATAGCTCATGAGTCAGTTTTTGATGTCGTACTTACTGTCGTTCATTTGTAGGGAGACACTCAATTATTTTTTTTTTGCTATTCATTGTTTAGACTTTAATAGAAGGGGCGATGCTGGACCGTACGCCTGAAAGGATGGAACTTGCTTTTGGTTATCTTGTAAGTTTTGTTCTTTCTTTGTTTTTAACTTGCTACCACTAATATCAATAAACTATCATGGGCTTAACTTTCGTTGGCAGGAGAAAATGAATGCTAGAGGATTCTTCTTGAACTCCAAGTTGGGGAGTGAGCTTCTCCTCGCAGCTGCAAGAGATGAGGTGAGTGAATGTCACTACTGGTGTATTATTTCTTAGTGACTTGGTTATCTGCCATATTGTCACACCTCGCCATAGGGCTTGGAAGAAAATCACAAGAACTCAATGGTAGGGTGAGAGCTGAACAAAATTTATAAAATGATTTCAAAATAATGAAATTATATGACTTCTATAATTTGTATTCACCAATAAATCATCAGAGCATCTAAACCCAAAAAAATTACTAAATGTCCACCAAATTTAAATAAAATTCCATTACACAATTAAATCAATTAAATAACGCAAACATCGATTATCCATCATAGATAAACTTGATGCATGAACATAGAAGTTCCACCTGAATCAGCCCAAACTAACGAACCTGAAATTATGAAGTAATAGGAGTGAGTTTGCAAGAAACAAAATCAGTAGGTGAAACCCCACTGATTAAAACATAAACAACAAGGCATGAGCATAAATATGAGCAAAGAAAAAAAAGTAAGTAGAAACAATGTCTATGGTATGAGATTATTGAATATACATAGTTTAGGGTTTCATTTATGAAAGTTAGCATAACTCGCAAAAAAATTGTTTGCCAACTAATAACCCTTGCATTCAAATGAAACTCTTTCACTTACAAGCATGTGATATCTATACATCCTTTAATGCCTCATTAGTTATCTATTTTCTGTGTATATCCATATATAAACATTTATAGTCGGTTTACTACCCTTCCGGGAAAGGTAAGCACAAATCCCAGGGAAATCCAGTGATTTTCTATAGAGGCGTCACTCTTGGGCCCCGTCGACCCCGGCTAGCCAATATCCAATAGGGTTAAAATACCAATATTTACAAGCATCAAACACACAAGCTTGCATTATATACACATTGTATTTCAGTAATAATGCTTAACAAAGGCTATAATACAATTAAGCTCAGTTATATATATATATTACAAAATTTATAATTTTCATAGACAATAGCTATTTAGAGCAAACATGACAAAATATGTAAACTATTCAAAAAATTATGTAAGAATCAATATGGCAATGCTAACTATCAGATCATGTCAAAAATAATAACATGCAATGCTGTAAATGAATTATCATATCTTACCATACACATTATTCACATACAAGGAGTAGCAAGGGTTAGACCCCTAACAAGAAAACAGTAAAGAGTCACCTACCAATTAGAGACTATAAGCAGTTGAAATTTCCAATCAAGATGAGACTCCTCCCATTCCAATACACTGTATTCAACAAACCCTAAATCCACAAGAGTCATCATCAATCATATATTCAATATGCCACACATCAAAATATTAAATAATGCAACAACTACTTAAACATCTTTTTGAAATAAATGATTCCATTTCCACCATGAACACTAAGTTATTCTTCATATTAGGACCCAAATTTAATTACTTTATTTAATACCTTACAAATTAAGTGAAAATTAAAATCAATGAATAAATAAATCAAGATCAGACAACCTCATCATTCACCTAGGCCTTCTAGTGATATCAACTCTACAAATCAGTTATATAGATTTCTCCTTCAACAACAAATCAACACAGAATAAGAAACAAGTAACTACAAGCAGGTAATATTCTACACAACTCTCCAACATTCAATTTCTCCAAGTAGAAAGCACATGAGGAAGCTTCGATGCATTGCTTCCTTGATTCTTCTCTTTCAGAGTTTATGCTCGGCCGCCTCTAAACTACGAAGTAGCAAATGCATCTTGCATAAATTTTATAGCTAAAATAAGTTTTCGAGTATTGTGAAAAATCGGATCTTTAAACCTTCATAATGCCGAAAGCACCCCGTCGGCCATAACATCGAACTTCAAAGCCACCGAGCACCGCCGCTCATTCCTCTTTTCAGCACGTGATGATGGATAGGAGGTTGTCATCGATCATCATCTCCTGGATTCCCCACTCGCAAGCTATATCGCGATCCTTTCGCTCTTCTCTCTCGCCGCAGCTCTCGCAATCCTTTGATCCCCTAAGTCCGATCCCCATCTTAAAGGAAAGAGTTTGCTTGAATGGGAAATCAAACGACGTGAATCGGTCTTACCTAACCCGGTTTGGTTCAACTCCTATTGCATGTTATTACACATATGCCTATCTTTGATTGTTCTCTTTCTAGGAAAGAATTGGATAGTCATTTAAAAGTTGTTCGTAAGGAGAGGTGATCTAATGCATGACAATTAATTTAAAGTGGTTTAAGTACTTAACTACTTATATATTGGGTGCTTAGTAAAATGAAAAATTCATCACTTTTCTTCTTGTTGTGACATCAATTATTTCATCTGTGGTAGTGTAATGAGCGGCTTGAAATTTAACATGTCTTATTGTATCCTTTTTAACCTTTTTCCTTTAATTTTACTTTAAGCACTTGTATTAATTTTGTGTTCATAGGGTAATTATGTCAATGCGAACTATATATGGGATATGCTTCAAAGCCGCAAAGTTAATGCATCGTTTCCTGCAGTGGAAGCCTATTATAAAGGTCTAAAGGTAAGTAATTTTCAATGCTTTTCGAATCAATCTCTTTATCTGCACAAATGTCCTGCTATAACTTTTTACAAGAAGCGTCTTTTCAGCTGCATTCTTGCATTTAGTGTTTGCCACTAAAATTCCTTAGTGAATTTGGTTATGCCTGAATTTAAAAACACTAGATTTATCTTATCATGCTAGTTTAGAAAAATGTTTTTTCTTGTGAGGAAATTGTTAGTGGCTTATAGTGAATGCCTTTTTATTGAAAAGTGGATTTCTCATTGCTGTTTTATTGCTTATTTCCAATTGTTAATTGTAGAGAATTTGCTCATGCTATATGCTATTTCAATTTCAATTTCAACATATTTTTCTTAATTTTTTGAATGAAAAAAAAATTGCAATAATCCTGTGTCAAATTTAGTCAAAACTACTTTGAATTTAGTAAAAAAAAGGGGAAGTGAGCGTCAATTAGTAGAGGAGGAAATAAAAATTAAAAAGCTAAACCACAAAGTCATTAGCCATAAATTTTGCAGGATAACTTCCTCTTCCTACGCATCCCGTGAGTGATTTGAATGACCGTTATTGTTCAAGCTAAATGAACGCCTAATTAAAATTATTAATTAATTTGCATATGACTACTTGAAGTTTTATTAGCCTAATCTTTTAATGATTACTAAATTCTTTATTAATCTTTTGTTAATATAACTAATGTCTAATTTGATATCCATGTTATTGATTAATGCCTAATTCATTAGAATTTTATTTTTTAATTACTTAAATGTTTTGTTAATGAAGGAATCCTTATTATAATAACAATGATTAATTAACCTAGTTTATCCTCCATAACCTAATTAAATATATAATCATTAGAAAAAAAAATTATATAATCATTAGGGAGTTGGTTGGGGTATTCTAGTAGGCCAACCTAGCTCATCATTCAAGGAAACTTTTTTCTGGGTTTCAAAAAGTGGGGTTTGTTTATCATTGAAGTTGGCTAGGGGTGTGAATGGGCTGCACATAAATGAGCAAAATTTTGTTTATTTGTTAGTGTTTACTTTGCGTTTGCAAATGTTTAATCGTTCTCCGTTTTTGTTTGGTTCATTATTGTTTCAGTTGTTAATAATCATAGATGAACATATACATTTCAATTAAAAGAGGCTTTTTTGTTGATTTGAATAATGAAGAATCAAACTCAAGTTTTCACCTACTGTTTCCAAAAGGTAAAAATAATATGATTTGCAAAGTTTCATTTTTGCTTCGATGTGGAAAGTGCAAGGAGAAGCATTTCTTTTACTCACTATAGCATTTATAGCTTATTTATCACATACTTATATATATTATGTATTTAAAATAATTATTTAATTAATTAAACTTAAATCATAAGTTATGAATTTTCAGTAAATATATTGATAATTTCAATTATTCGAAAATCAAAATATTGATGAAAGAAAAAAAATAATAATTTGATGCATCAAGAATATTTGTGATATTGAGTGGCTACTAGCTAACTAGATATGGAGAGTTGTAGGCAGCGTGATGAGCGAGAGTTGAGAGTATGAAGTGAGCATTCTTGATAAGTAGCTTGTGAATGAGAGACAATTGGCACAACAACAACACAACGCCTTTTTCCCACTGTGGGGTCTGCTATATGAATCCTTTTTCTTCATTGTCATGTTAAGAGTCAAATTCTCATTTTAATCTAATAAAGAAAGGCCATTTCTAATATTTTCTAACTATGTCTTTTTAGGTATGCATCTACCTTTTTTAACATAAGTCTAATCTAATACATCTACTCTCCTAATCGGGTTATTGGAAGGTTGTCGTTTTATGTAACCAAACCATCTAAGAGGACTCTCTCTAATCTTATTACTCCAACCTTTCCATGTATATGCTCATTTCGTATCACGTCTCCAATAGTAAAGCCACGCATCCACCCGAGCATCCTCATTTCTGCAACACTTAACTTAATATTGTGCTTCTCTTTTAATGGCCAACATTCCGTGTCATAAAGCATTGCAGGTCTCACCATCATCTTATAGAATTTTCCCTTAAGTTCGAGCGGTACTTGTCTATCACACAACAAACCCGATGCATTCCTCCACTTTAACCATCCAACTTGAATTCTTCTAATAATATTCCCATCTATTTTACCATTAGCTGGATAATAGACCCGAGATATCTAAAACATGTACTCTTATTAATGATTTGATCGCCCAAAGCACCCCCCCCCACACAAAATAGATCTATTATTACTAAAATTACTATCAATTTATTCGATTTTAGATACACCTAAATGAAAACCTTTCGATTCTAAGGTCGACCTCCATAATTCAAGTTCTCTAGTCTTATCAATAAGAATAATATCATCAACAATTTACATACACCAAGGTACATCCTTCTGCAAATATTTAGTAAGAACGTCCATGACTAAAGCAAAAAGGATATGGGCTTAAGGCTTATCCTTGATGTAATCCAACCGAAATAGGAAAATACTTGGTCCAACCTCTTTGTGTCTAAACACAATAAACAACTCCTATATACATATACTTAATGACTTGAGTAAATCATTATTAACCCCTCTCTTTTCTAAAATTCTTCATGGCACTTCTCTTGAAACTTTATCATAAGCTTTCTCTAAATCAATAAATATCATACGGAGATCCTTATTATCCCTATACTTCTCCATCAAACCATGCAAAATTCAAAACGATCATGTTTAATGAAGTTTTAATTCAACTTGTTTACTACCACATCTCTTATGTTCAGATTTGAATTTCTAACTCGCGTTAAGGATTCTATATTTGCTAAGGCTTTTACAATGTACTGAATTTTCTCATTTCAGGCTCGGCCAATACCACCAGATGACCCTCGGATCCTGAAGGTTAGCCGCATTTATGAAGATCTTTCCATGAGATTTGGAGGTAGAAGAAACTCAAATTTCTAGTTTGAAGCGAGATATTCTTTTGGGGACATTTTGAAGATCTTTCCATGAGACTTTCTGAATTCATTTTTATGGTAATAAGCTGTGATATCTGTAATGTTTTAGCCTATCTAGAGAATCAGTTGTTGTAGTTTACTTTCTGGAATCAAATCTGATTGAAGGAAAGGGTTTGTTTGGGAATGCTGTGTAAAATTTATTTTTTTTATTACAAAAATATTTTTGAAATGATAAAAGTTATCAGCAAACAGAAAATTTTCAAGCAAAATTTTGTACAGAAAATGGATCTAAAGGCGCGGCTGCTGTGTGGTCTCAGAAGCAGTTTTTATTGCAGTTATGATGTGTTTGGGGCTATTTCTGTACAAAATGATGAAAGTTTTTACTTTTCAAAGATATAAAATAATTTTAGGTTTCCGTTGGGACGGTTTTCTTATTGTTTTATAAAAATATTTTTATGTACAAAATTTTTTTAAAATAGAAAAAATACAGTTGTCTAATGCTGTCCCAAATGAAGCATTAATTTGGTATCAACCAAATATGTTTTTAATTTTATTTTATCCAATTTTATAACTCATCTAAATAAGATAAATTTCAATTTATATTTTTTTCTTTTTTTTTTGAAGTTAACCAACACAACTAGGGGTGTGAATGAGTTAATTCGAGTTGAGTATTTGCTTAATTAAATTAAGCTTATGTAATTATTACTTATCTTGAACTTGGTTTGTTCTAAAATTATTAAGCTCGAGCTAGACTTTATTATCAGAGCTTGTTTAAAAAGCTTGAGTTTGATGTATTATATTTGACTTATATTAATTGAAAATGTTTAGTATGTATTTTAAGATATTATTGTAAAGTTAATTTTGAAGAGTTGATGTTTGATTTATATTAAGAAAGATAGAGGTAGACTTAAAAAGATTTGGTTAGAAAATAAATTATTTTATTGATCACCAAAGTTTAAAATAAATTCATTTTTAATATATGAAGGAAATCTCTTGTTCTTTATGTGATTTAAATTTTTTTATTGATTTTATTTCTATTTTATTTCAAACAAAAATATATAATGTGTTACAGCATTGTGATTATTAGTTTGTCTTAAGGATTAATGAATAATTTGATCTCCTAATATGATCAATGTTTAACAAATACAAAGATAATCACATTTGTTATATATTATTCGATTAAAATTGTGCATTGGTTGACCAACATAAAAGATGTATACAATTTTAGGCCTTTTTATATATGGAGGATCTCTAATATCAAAAAATGAAGAAGAAGATCAAAACTAGGGAGTTTTTGAACAAAAGTTGCCCAAACAATCATGGATGATTCTACAAATAAGAAGCTTTGTGGGAGGAAGAATTGAAAATGAAAAGCAAATACTTAAATATCTTCAATGATATATGTATAAATTTTAAGAAAATTATTTCTTTCAAGGATGAAAGAGTTTTATAAAAAATAATTGAAACCCAAATTTATATTTTATTTATTATTTTTTTTATGAATGTTGAACCATAATTGGGAAGGATGCATCAGGGGTTTATGAACAAATTGATTTATAGATGTCTGAACATAGCTTGCTATGCTTAAACAAAATTGGAAACATGCGTGGTTGTAAAAGCAAAATTTTTATGATGCTAAGCAAAATTTATTAATATGTAATAATCATATAGAATTCATAGATGAAGCCAAGTGGTGATCTAATGAGTTTGATCGAGTGAACAATATTTTTACTGTAATGAAGAAGAAGAAGAAGAAGATTCTTTTGTTTTAAGTTTTGTGTATAAGATAATATGCACATATGATAATAGAAAGAAATGAGAGATCATGTGTTGCCTGTTAATGGTCACAAAATTCTGACATAACCAATCAAAACCTGCTGGTTTGGGCTTTCAGCTCCCAAATCAAAAACTGGATGGCATAATTTTGGGGGAGTGCATTTTGGCAATCAATTTCTTCGAGTTCTCTCACTGACAGAACAATCCTTCTCTTCATAATTGATCAACCATGCTGAACCAATGCTGCAACTGATGAATGGTTCCAAGCAAACAAACCACCACCATGATTCCTGAGACGACTCCAAACCGAGCGAATTACCTCAATCATAATCTGATCTGGTTCGATTCCTCGACTAATCATTTCATCGATCAGTTTCCGCACAGCAATCCCCTCTCGTTGCAAGGCATAGCCCGCAATGAGCGCGGTGTAAGAGATTTTGTCATGGCCTGCCATCATGTCGAAGACTTTGCGAGCAACTGAGACTCTTCCTGACTTACAATACATATCCACTATAGAGTTTGCAATGGGAAGATAATGCTCAAAACCATGCCTGATTGCATAGCAATGAAGTTGAGTACCATACCACAAATCTGCAGAATCAGCACATAGTGCTAGCATAGTTACAATGGTCGTTTGGCTTGGTTGTGTTCTTGATCCAATCATCTCTTGAAGAAGCAAGGCTGCTTCATGAACCTTGTTAATTCCTGCAAAGGCGGCAATCATCGAGTTCCATGTAACCGCGCTTCGAGCCGAGCTTTTCTGGAACACGATGCGAGCATAGCCGATGTTGTGGCATTTGGAATACAATGTGATGAGTGCATTGCTGATGTTTTCGAGCTCATCAAAGTTGCTTCGAATTGCCAAGCCATGAATCTCCTTCCCTTGCTTCTGATATCTTATGACAGAGCAAGCCTTCAAGCCAAGCAACAAGCTGACAAAATATAGAGCATAAATGGCTTTTCTTTGTCTAGTCTGAGATATCAATGTAAGTGCTTCCCTATGATTGCTGGAATGCACAAGACCACAAATGATAGTGTTAGAAGTCACAGAATTGAGCTCAAAACCCTCAAGTCTCATCCTTTCCAGGAATTCAGAGGTCTCGTCCCACCTTCCCTGGGAGGAATATCCCAGAACCATGGAGTTCCAGCTAACTATGTCTCGTTCGGGCATTTCATCAAACACCTTCCTCGCATTATCCACTGCTCCACACTTAGCGTACATAGCCAAGAGAGCATTGTAAACAAATAAATCGCACTCCAAATCGCTGGAAACTATATGCCGGTGAACTTCTTTACCCAACCCAAGCTCACGAAGTTCACCACAAGCTTTCAAAACGGAGGAAATGCTGAACTTATCTGGCTTGATTCCCCTCTCCAGCATCATTCCGTAGCTAAAAATCGCATCTTGCCAGTATCCTTTTTCAAGATAAGCGGAGATGACTATGTTCCAGGGGAAAGCGAGGACTGTGCTCGAGTCTTCGACGGCAGCGCGGGCGGAATCGAGCAGTCCGAACGCGGCGTAGAAAGCGGCAATGCGGGAGACGGTGAAGCGGTTCGCCGGAAGGAGGCCGAGGAAGAAGGAAAGGGCGTGGAGCCCGGACCCGTGTGAGAAGGAGCGGAGGTGGGTAGCAGCGGCGAGGAGAGAGGAGATGGGGTGGTCGAGATGACGAGACAAGGGATGGGAAAGATAGCGGCGGAGTTGGGAAAAGGCAACGAGGGCGGCGGCGATACGGTGGGAAGAGGAGAGGTGTCGGATGGAGGCGACAAGACGTTCCGCTTGGTTCGCCGGCGGAGGTCTGCGCCATGATTGTGATCTTGGGGAGCACCTCTTGATTTGCTTGACGAGGGAATAGAAATTCTGAGGTATGGTAGTGCAGGGCATTCGACGGAGACCATCTGTGCTTGGTTTGCTAAAACTATGGACTGGGGCTTGGAGTATCTTCAGAGCTTGTATTTTTTTTTTTGGGATTTTTACATACTTACCATTTTATTTGTTTCATATTACATATTTAAGTATTTAACACTCAATTTTTAAATATTACATTAATACCACCTACATACTATTCTCATAACAAAAATACCACTCCGTGAACTGCTTCCCTCACTCCGTTTTCTTTCCCGCCTGTGATTTTCGCGGGAGAACAAGAGGTTTCAGCGAAACCTTCTGTATCCCGGCTTCAGCTCTGCTCTTCCTAGTTTCGGCAAAGGCACCGGGAGCATTTTATTTTCCAATTTCGGCAAAAGCACCTGGAGCCCTGCAGCTTTCCCAGTTTCGGCAAAGACAAAGGCACCTGCAGCTTTTCCAGTTTCGGCAAAGGCAAAGGCACCTGGAGCATGTTAATACCACCTGGAGAACCATGGAGCAAACTGGAGCAACCCGATTAATACCAACCTGGAGCAAACTGGAGCAACCCGATTGATGTTCGGTATTATAGTAATGGTACTGTATAGCAATGCTCCCCAAGTTTATGATTGTCGGAGATCCCGTTTCCTGTGAGATGTAATTTTGAGATATTTAAAATCTGGACGTTTTGGACCTGTGAGGAAGATGCCCGGAGGGAAGATCTGCGAGGAAGATGTCCGGAGGGAAGATCAACACGGAAGAAAACACCTGGCGACAGCTCGCGGGGAGGAGGATGAAAGGGTTCGCTGGCTAGGGCATTCCTAACGAATTCGGACGGAGTGAGGGAAGTAGTTCACGGAGTGGTATTTTTGTTATGAGAATAGTATGTAGGTGGTATTAATGAATATTTAAGAATTAGGTGTTAAATATGTAATATGAAACAAATAAAGTGGTATGTATGTAAAAATCCTTTTTTTTAGTGATTATATAATTTTTTTGTTTTTATATATTTAATCTTTTAAATTTATTTATATTACATTCAAATTTATAAAATATATCAAATATATTAATATCATTTTCTTAAATAAAATATCTATTTTTAACATATATTTTGATATAGTTGAAATACCAAAATGCAAATATATAAGAATTATATGATATGTATGAAATTCTCTTTTAAAATTGTATGATAATTTTGTTTAGTTAAATGATTTTTATTACATTTTAGAATAATTTGTCATGAGAATTATTTTCTTATAATTAAATATATTAGAATCTGATAATGTTAAAATGTAGGTATATAACTTATAAAGAAATAAAAATAACATAATCTTCATAAGAACTTCAAAAGAAATGATAATTTTTATCATATTTTTATTTATGCATATAAGTATATAACTTTAAAGCTTTATTTTTTTCAACAACAAAAAGAAGCTTTTATCACATTATATGGGATGGGCTACATGAATCATTTTTTTTCATTGTGTCCTAATAAGAATCATATTCTCATTTAAAAAAAAAGTATCATATTCTCATTTAAATTTAATACATTCCAACCAAGTCTTTTTAGGTCCAGCTCTACCTTTCTTTAATATAGGTTGCATTTAATACATCTACTCTCCTCATTAGATCATTAGAAGGCTGGCGTTTTATGTGACCAAATCATTTAGACATCCTAGTGCCTATGATATATGAATTGAGTAATATTAAGCTTGTTGGATTTCTTCTCATTGAGGGTCTCATTTTAACCATATGCATAAACTAGCTAGATGATATTTAATCTCTAAATTGGTTTTTTGAAGTTACCAATTACCTTCTTTATGCTTGATTTAAGTTTATTTGGATTTAGATTGAGACATTTTTTTATGACTATTGTATTTGTCTTATCAAAATGTTTGTTATTTGTTGAAAATGAAATTTGGATGATCTTAAAGTATTATATGATAATTTTGATAGCAAATCACAATTTTGATAGTATTATATAATGCGACTATTTCCTAAAAAAGAAAGTGAACTTCCAATTTAGGATCTCAAACAAATAATTTTTTTCTTGATTTTAATCTCACTCTTAATGAATTTTACATGTCTTTTAGAAAAAAATATATTTAAAATTTGGATTAAATGTCCTTAAAATTAAACAAAATTATTTCCAGTAGCTCTATTGGGCTATAAAAGTTGAGTAAAATTTGTTGAAAATGGTCCCAAGGTAATTGACCCTTATTCACTCGGCATTATTGAGCTAGGCCAAAGGTAACTCGTCTAAGCTTTTTGATTTTGCTCTCTTTAAGCAGATCAAAAGATAACACATGTATTAGTTTGTAACATTATATGGGTATTTTGTGTAGCGTTGTACTTTATACTTTTTCTCTATGTAGCCTTTCCTATAGCCCTCAAAATCTTATAAATAAGGGATGATGATGAACACTTGAAGGACTTTTTTTGCCTTTCTAATAATGACAGTGGAACCCATTATGGTTTGAGATTCATAGCTTTCTCTTTTCTTCTCCCAATTTCTTCATACCCTCCATTCTCATTGCTTAAGCTCGCTCGCTCGCTAGATAGACTTGCTAGAGTAAAGCCGGGTGTCGCTTGCAAACAAATTTGGATCCAGCAAGAATGGATAATTAAATATTCATAAAAATGTCGTTTATATTCTTATGATTTAATTTGTATTATTTTAACAATTGTTAAAATAAGTGATCATTATACTTATAACATAATCTACATGTTTGTTTGTATTACTCAAGCTCCAATAGGGGTCTAATATTGAATTTAGAGTCATAGTCTTATATTTTGAAATTTAGGGTTAATAGTTGAAGTTTGTGACCTCTCCCAAGTCTTATTAATCATAAAATAATTTTAAAAATAAAAAAATAAATAAATTATGAAATTAATTTTTTTTTTTAAATAAAAAGCACACATGTATGTGTGCATGGGGGACAACCTGCCTTTGCTCATTGCAAAAATTAAGGATGTTTGGGGCTTTCGGGCTTCATTTCTTATTTGGACAAACTTTTTTAAACTTTTTTTTTGCATAGGCGAGACTATGATGTAAATGCATATGCTGAACATGATGATGCAAATGATGGAAAGATACAGACTTTGGTAGGATATGTAACACCTGTTGTTTTTACTTTAACTTTTCATGAAGCTAAGAAATCGTCTGAGGTAGTGACATGTACTGTTAATATTTCAGATTTATCTATTAGAGTTCTTTTTTATTCAGGTGCATTCCATTATTTTATATCTAATGTATTTTGTGAAAATTGCCTATGAAGCCTATTACTTTCACGCCTAGTCTGAATATTCGATTACCTTCTAGAGATTATTTAATTGTTAGTGTTTCAAATTCAGTTAATATTATGATAGCTGGTAGAGAATTCTGATCGAACTTAATAGTACTACCTTTAGTAGAGTTTGAAATAATATTGAGAATTAATGAATTGGCCAAACACTTTGCTACTATATTGAATGTTGAAATAAATGAGTTAGATTTGATTTGCTTGGAGTTAAGATATTTTATTTTTGGTGTAAAAGATGAGTTATGCCCCTTTTTTATTATTTTTAGTCAGGTGAACAAAACTATAAGAGTTGGAGAATTTATTTTCTTAATAAAGTTAGAAGCTATTAAAGGGTAAGTGATGATATAAATTATATTCCTATAGTGAAGGAATACATATATATTCTAAGGAATTGAATAATTTGCTTCTAGAAAGAGAGGTATAATTTTTAATAAATATATAATTGTTGCGAGCTAGATATATACGCCGCGATAGAGTTAGAATACTACGTCTTAGTATTGCATGGATATATAGCTCACACATAGAGAACAGAGGATTTTTACGTGGAAATCCCTAAAAAAGGGGAAAAACCACGGGGATTGGCCAAGTTAAAAATGATTACACTAGAACTTGAGTTGGTTACAATAGGCTGACTCGCCTCCAAGGGCGATCAGATTATAAGTATCAACTGTACGACATAAATTCGAGTGTTAGGTGATGTTCCGGCAGAACTTTGGGCCTAAGGTGGTGGTCTGGCAGAACTCTGGGCATTAGGTGGTGGCCTGGCAGAGCATAGGGCGTCAGGTGGTTGTCCGGCGGAGCACAGGACGTCTGGTTGTTGTCCAGCGAAGGCGAGGGCCTCAAGTGGTCGTCCGGCGAAGGTGAGGGCCTCAGGTGGTGATCCAGCGATGGCGAGTACCTCACATGGTGGTCCGGCGAAGGTGAGGGCCTCAAGTAGTGGTCCGGCGAAGGTGAGGGCCCCAGGTGGTGGTCTGGCGAAAGGGAGGGGCTCAGGTGGTGGTTCAGCGAAGGCGAGGGCCTCAAGTGGTGGTCCGATAAAGGTGAGGGCCTCAAGTGGTTGTCTGGCGAAGGTGAGGGCCTTAGGTGGTGGTTCGGGGAAACTCCTGCGGTGCTCTAGAGAAACTCCTGTGGTGGTCCGACGAAACTCCGGTGGTAGTCCCGTCAAACTCCGGCGGTGGTCGATGAGGAGCTTCTTCATTCTCTCATCTTCCTCTCTTCTTGTCTTCTTGCTTGGGTCCCTCTTCAAGAGCTCTTCAAGAGAAATGAGAGGTTTATTTATAGATTTATGGAGTGGCATGGCCCGTAAATAGGTGAATGATCAAGGGTAAATGGGGAGTGGTTGGATGGGCAGCCGATGTTGAATCCCTTGTTCATGGACCGTTTGATGGACATTTGAATGTTTTTAGTGATGTCGGATTTTGGTGATCTTGGCTCGTTGGATTCATCTCGTCGAGCCGCTCAATTTTACTATAAGCATGTTATGTTTGGAAATCCTTTGGTAATCCAAATTGTGATACAAACCTTTCAACAACGCTTCTAACCCTCGATTTGGACCCGTTTGGGCTCAGATTGGGTTGGATTTGGTGTCGTTGGGTTTGTATTCTCAAGACGCTCAGTTCGATTATAAGTTTGCTGGAATTGGAGTTCAAATGGTCCCAAAATTAATTTTGAAAGTTTCTAGCTTGATTTTGCATTGAGATTCGCGCCCGATCAAAATAATTTTTTGATGACATATCAGTTGCCCCCTTATTTTCGAATGTCAAAGCCCTAAAAGTTTAAAAATATGAATCGTAGTTCATAGGAATTTATTTGGGTGATTTGAAATTTAAACATTCTCCGATTATGGGCGTAGATGTCCCGAATCACATTAAAAATATCAAAATTGAGTCTCGAATGTTAAAAAATGAAACAAGTCTACAAACCCTGAAATAAAGTTGGGATTATATCATTGCATGGATCGTCTAATAAGTGATGCAACTGAAAGATCAAATGCTGACATGCAATTGGTACCTTTTAGGAACAAAGAAGACTTTTTTGGATTACAACAAGCAAATTATACAATTGTCAAATGATCTCTAGGTGATTTTATTTAATGTTTAAACATTTATTTAAAAGTTATTTTTCGCACTAATTAAACTATCTTATATAAATATTAGTTGAGTGGTGGATTTAATTTGGTGATGGTACTCCGAAATTGCAATGTTTTGCTGTGAAAGTTTTGGGTATGACATGCTCTTCATCTGGCTGTGAAAGAAATTGGAGTACCTACAACCAAGTACATACAAAGAGGAGAAATCGCTTGTCGACATTGAGGATGAATTCATTGGTGTACATTATGTACAATAGGATACTCAGAGATAGGAATTTGAAGAAAAAAGGATTAATGGATGATGAAGATCATTTGTTTTGCGAGGATGTGGCATCTGATGATGAGTGGTTTGTAGATGATGAAGTTGAAGTGATGCCGTCTTAATTACAAGATGAAGATTTAAATATTGATTTCTTTGATTGTCTTAAAGCATCTACTTCCACCACAACTCAAGAACAAATCAAAAAAGGTATATAAATAATATAGTTTTCTTTTCTTAGATTTTTATTAATGTATTTCACTATTATTCATTATGATATTGTTCAAAAATATTTAGGAAAGAAGATGAAAATTGATAATGAGGAAGGAGCTGATTGAGATTGAGAGACATTGGACAATAGGAGAGGAAGAAGAGGAGAGAGCAGTTCATCATAATGATGATTCAAATGAAGACCCCCTTAGTGATGATTGATGACAGTGTTGATGACTTATGAGTTCTTATGTGACATGTCATTGTTATTTATCATCAAAGATGTAGTAAGTAGAATTTTTATGTTTTATATATTATTTACTCATTAGTATATACAAAATTTATCATTTTATGTTTACGCAATTTTTTGATTTTGAGACTTACGCCTCAAAACGCCTTGAGGCTTACGGCTCACCTCGCGAACGAAAAACGCCTCAATACCCGATTACATAATTTTAAACATTGCATACAAGAAAAGAATATAACATGCTATATTGAGTCTCATCTCGTTAGAACTTTTACCTCCTCATGTGCAGGTCAACATACTTTATCAATCTATCTCATATAAAATGACATTTCTTTGGTTTTTTTTTTACTGTTAAGCTCATTTGTATAACCATTTAATATTACTATACATTCTTTTATGCAAATGCTGAAATCTACCTATATCATAATGTATCCAAGTTATTACATGATAAGTAACAATTTATATATAAATGTTTAAACATTAGGCCTATGAATTTTTTGCTTATTATATTAGAGATTGAGTATTATTGAAATTACTGGATTTTGTCGAGCCAAATTTGTTTATTTTTATCTTCATAGGACTTGATTATAAAATATTAGAAATGATATTTCTTTATTAAATCTAAATGATAATTTGACTCTTAACATAATTTGTCATAATATTTGTAAATATTTTAAAAAAATGATTTGCGTTTTCTTAAATAGATTATAATTAATTACATTATTTAAGGAGCCTATTAAAATTTTATTTGGTATAATTTTTTTATTATTTTGTGAAATAAATTTTAATAAATAAAATTTAGTTTAAAAACTTTTTTACAGAAAATTATTAAAAAAAAAAAAATTATTATCTCAAATGAAGCCTAAGTTTTTTTTTTATAGTTATTATTCTCATAACCATTAGTCTTATCTCAGTTATATGTGTCTATAAATCTTCTTTCTTTAGTCATTCTTATTGAGTGTAAAATAATGTTGTACAAGATTTTAATTCTCTATGGAGATTTAAAAAGCAATCGGGCGTTCTAATCATTAATTACATAGAAGAGGTAAATTAATTTAATTAATATCATCTTTCTCCTTTAATTACATATAATATTGAAATTATAATCATTAATATGCTGAGCAGTCCTTTCAGCTTAGGTAAAGAAACTCCATAAGAAATCCGTTATAATCACAGTAATGAGAGAATTAGCAGTATTATTATTCATTAGTGTTGATGCATCTGAGCTCTGAAATGGGCTCAGCTGTTCATTTCACTGTACAAATCTCTCTCAATTTGCTGTACAGTTTCAAAAAAATTCTGAGTAAAATGTGCCTTCTACTTTAACCTGGTCCACCGGTGTGATCATATAGCCAATGAACCTTCAATAGTTCATCATCAGAATCAAATTCAGAGATTTCCTCTTGCATTACTCTTGAGAATACATAACTGCAGAAGAAGACACTAATTAATCATGAACTTTAACTTATTACTGTTTCTTAAAGTAGCTTTTTAGTATACAAATTTTAATTTTTATATTAAAAAGCTGCTTCAAGAAACAATAAAAAAGCTTTCTCAAACGAGTGCTTAAAACGGAGAATGTTTAACAAAAAGCTCAGATGTTCAACATTGCATGAAGTGTAAATTGAATGAAATTTAGATCAAGATATTCTAATTCAAATTTGATTAGGATGAATTTTAAAAGTTATGGATTTATTTTAAGATGAGGTAACATAAGGATAATCAATATTTCCTTCTTATCACTCATCTAAAAAATAACTCTAAAAATCTTAAAATGCGATAAATTCTGATCACAATTTGTTTTTTTTTTTTTTTTAATTGAATCTTTAATAGGCATATCAACAGTGAGGAAGAAAATACAGAGAACTATTCCTACTGACAAGCAATTGATGGGCACGAAATTTATCCGCACTAGTTTTCTTTCTGTTTTTTAAAGTAACTTTTTAGTACAAAAATTTCTAAAAAAAACTGTTTTAGAAAGCAGTAAAAAACTTTTCCAAATGAAGCCTTAGTTGTTGAGACCCAACAGTGGCATAAGGAGAGGAACATAGGCAACTTCTCCAAACTTCATCAGGTGGTGGATTATAATCTATTAACTATAGTCCTAATCCCTCAATTATGATTTGCATGAAGTCATTATTTGAATGAACTCAGGCCAAGATTAATCTAGACAAACTTAAACTCCAATGCCAAGAGCGACCTTTACTACTCTCCAAAACCTGATGATTTCAGGAGAGATTCTATGTTGAAACTACAAAAGAAATTTAGGATAAGCTTACTATTAATTATGAAAGAACTAATGAATTTATGAATGCTAGTATTTATGGATTAGTACACGAGTTTTACATTCATTAGGCATAACTTATAGAAATGAAGATGTTATATTTAAGATTCTAAGATGCTTAAATAAGAAATAAGATCCTAAGGTAACTGTTACCATGCAATGTGATTGTCTTTTTACTTATACACTCGGATCAGCTTTTTGGCTCTTTGATAGCAAATGAAAAGGACATGCCAACTTAGAGATTTTAAGGATCCATTCAAGAAAAGAAAACGAGATTGCTTTGCAAGCAGAAGATTTAGAGAAGAGAACACCCATAAGTGCAATAGAGGACAATAAAGTTTCCAATATCTCAAGGCAGTTGCAATCAATGCTAAAGAAAACACAACAAACAACAACAACAACAACATCAAGCCTTCATCCCACTACGTGACAAGTTTTACGCTGACATTCGACTACCTAATGCAACCCTTCATTTTTCTCATCCAGAACTTGGAACATGGCAACGACAATGTTTAAAGAAAACACAACAAAGACAAGAAAAATATAGAAGTAATAAAATTATGATTAAAAATTCTCTTGCAGTTGTAAAGGAAGAAGTGAAATGCTTCAATTGTAAGAACTTAGGGCATATCAAATGTGGTTGTCTGGATCTTGTAGAAGGGAAGAAACATAAGTAAAAAAAAAAAGAATAAATGGGTGTGAAAGTACAACAACAAGGACAAGACTTTATAGGTCAACTCTAACACCACTTCTTCGTCATCCTCAATAAGTGATTCCTGGTAGGAAGCAAAGATTTTCCTCATAGAAAGAGAGCATGAACTCTCTAGAAGTATGTAATCTATAAATATCTTATGAAGAACATGATAATGCTTTTAATGACTTGCATAAAGAATACAACTAAGAAAAAAAAGTATTTGTCATTATAGAAAGATAATGAGAATTTAGCTAGAAATTTTTATAATAATAAGAATGAATGTGATAATCTCATAAAAGAAAAATAGTACTTTACTTCACTGTTCTTATTACAAAACAAGTGACTGATTGAGAAGAAAGGGGATGAATAGAAAATCGAAGACACTGAAGAAACTATTTTCTTTGTTATTCCATAAATTAATTCCATTGTGGTTAACAATATTCATGAGGAGGGGAGCATCTTCAAGAATTAGTTGTTTCTTGATCTACAAATATAAAGATTTTTAAACCAGCTCCATATAAAATATTTCCACTAAAAATTATGATAGTTTTTCACCAATTAGAGTGTTCATTTATTGATTACGACATATGAAGCCTACTCTGAAACATTTCTTTCCAAACTTATTTATCATGTGGGATGAATAGAGACAAAATAGAAGCTTACTTGACTGAACTCAGAAGATGCTTGGCTAAACCAGAACCTCTACCGGAAAACAAAGAGGTTTCCTCCATTTGCTTCTTTCTTCTACCTCTGGGACAATAGGAGAATGTTGTCAGAAAATTTTTAGTAATGTTGAAGTATATAAGAGAGTATAAAGTCCAAAGAATGTGACTCCTTATTTGGATAAAGAAATAATTATTGAGTGAAGTAAAAGAAGCCTCTTATCATGCACTTAAGAGGAAAATTTTTATTTTAAAAATTCCTAAGCAGGAATACAAGTAAAAGCAACGAGTCTAAGTCAGCCAACAACACCAAAATAGGATCTATACAGACATCCATAAAATATATAGTTTTTAGAAAAGATGTCTCTATACACCATTAGTCAATTCTTAATTTTCATAAAAATAGATGCTCAATAAGTCAACCCAACCAAACATCACTCATCCCAAATTTTGCCCAAATGAGGCTGCTCTGATAGGACAAAAATTGATCAACTAAAATTCTATCTAGTCGAGGTCAATCAACAATGATAACTCAATCAACCGAAATTCTACTCTATCAAGATCAATTAACTCAATGTCAAACAACATTCATATTCATAATTCTTTTGAACCAAAAGAAAGTATGAAGACTTCTAAATAAGTACCATCATATAACAAAATCAAGTTTCTCAAATTTATTTAAATAATGCCTTTCTCTCATAATCTATTTGATTTCTTCATTAAGCTCGACTTTGAATTCATTACAATTAGTTTGAACATTAAAAGTAATCATGTAGTTCTATTGTGTTGTGCTACCTCATAGTTGTCATGGAATTATATCTTTCTTGTAGCATACAATTTTTTATCTTTTTATTAAGCATTCTTCACTAGGGTTTTTCTAAAACCTATAACTTTTACCATTATTAAGGTATGAATGGAAGGGATATTGCAAATAATGCTTAGAAGTTGATGTCATCAAGACAACTGAATTCAACAAATAAAATGAAACATCCAAAGCCTTGGTCAAACCTATCACAATCATTTAGTAGAGTTTAATTTGTCTAAAGATACATATCGGATGAAAATAATCGTTATATCACAGCATTTTTTAAAATTTTCTACTGTAATTGTTAGATAAGTTTGTTTTTAATTAAGCTTCCAGTCAAGTTGGACAACTAATTTAAAAAATTTGAAAGAAACATATAAGAATTTCTGAAAAAAAAAAATGATTTGCCTGCTATGAGAAATAGAATGCCACATCAATAGGACCCAATAATACGATAAGTCCTTGGGTCTCCATTGACCATTCAAAGAATTTTTAGTCAACTAGGTGTAAGAGGAAACCCTCTTGTACTCATGACATGGTAACCTTTGTAATCAAAACTGTCTATGATTTACATTATAAGTTGTTATTTTTTATTAGGTTTTTTATTTCTTCAAGTTGTGCTTCTAGTTTTTCTCATGATAATTATTGTTGATGCCAGTTGATTTATTGAGTTGATTTTAGCTGTGCTCGGAATGCTTTTTTTGTAAGGCTCTTTGGCATTAATTTGTCTTTACCTCACTCAGGCCTTGTTCGATAGTTGGATGATCGCAACTTAATATGGTTCCTTGTCTTAGCTAAAGTGGTCCAACATCACCAAGCATGAGTTGCACCTTCCCTAAAGGTTTGAGGATTGCCCCAAGGAGAAGCCCATCACATGGGCTCACTTAGCATCTATCGACTTAGACTTTATCTATGAACGGCTAATGGCTTATCCTATATGGAGCCCATCATCAAGAATAATCAGCTACCTGTTAGACCGGTCCAAGGAGGACCGGTCCAGCCGGCCCAGCCTCTTGGGCCGGCTCAGCTCGTATACGCCAGGAGGAGCCGGCGGAAGCAAGAGGGGAATTAGGTGGGGTCCACTTGAAATTCGAATTGATTCTTGGAGCCAAAAGGAGGGGAGGCATGGGTAATTAGGTCCTTTTGTATCTAATTTGAATTGTATGCATTAAGTAGGGAAAAAAGGGAGGATTAGGGTTATGTCATATGGTGTGAGAGTTTTTCTTGTTCTTCTTTGGTGACTAGGGCTCTAGGCTACGGCTAGAGATTTGGAGAGTTTTTCCTTCCTCTCGAATTGAAGGAAAATTGTATCTTGCTTGTTGTTTGCATCTACTAGTGAAATACAAGCGTTTGCAATTATTTTCCTACATTTTCTCTCAGTTTTTCTTCAGTTTTCCGCTGTTTTCACTGTTTTCCTGCTCCAGACAGCAGTTCGCTTGGAGAGTTGTTGCAAGAAGTGAATAGGAAATACTTGATTCCAAGTATTTCCTATCACTACCATAGGGATACTACATGTAAAGTAGGTGAACATGAGTCAACATTAAATCATCAACTTATTCTTTGATGATTTATGGGCTCTTCCTAACTTGAACTAAGCTCGTCGAGTGTCTAGAGATGGCATTTATTTTCATAGGACAAGATCTCATGCATCAATGCCTTGCACTCGAACATTGACATCATAGAACTTGGCGACTCTTCTATTGACCACTTTTTTTGACTAATTGTGCAACTTTGCAAGCAAGTTGGGACTTGATAGCAAGCTTTCTTCATACACCTCATCAATCAGAAAGTTTTATAAAGCTAGAGTTGTGCAACGTGTAATCAATAGGTAGAATGGGCTTCAAAATCATGCAATATGAAAAAATGCATTATACCTTATTAAAGTTTATAAAATCGTCCAGAGTGACCTAAGGACAATGGGTAGCATCTTGACCAATTTGCCTTTACAGTCTTTTATTTTTTCTAAATGTAATTCAAAATAAATTTAATAGTAGCTACTACCTACCTATAACTCTTGAATGGTAAATTGAAGGAAATTTAAGGTGAATTATCTATTTATTATAGAACACCTTGCCTTTCTTATCATCAAATTATGAGTCATTGTTAGTGACGATGTAGGGAGGCCGACTATGTCAACAAATGATGTCAATGCTTGATTCCGCTTTGATTTTATACAAGCACATTTGCATTATTGAATATTTGATTTTATATCTATCATTGGCTTGATTGACAATTAATTAAGAATCAAAATTTATAGAGATATGTTGTGCCCTGACTACTTGAACAAACATCAAGCCACCTAAGAGATCTTGAACTCATCCAAGTTGTTTATAAGTTAAAAGGTTCTTACTAGCATGTCATAAGATGATTCCAAACAGGTTTTTTCAAGACAACACCAATTCCATTCCTTGGATACCCTAATGGTCCTTTTATATGCATCAACTAGAGCGGGTCTTCATGGGTTTCCTTTCTGGGCAAATCTAACTATATTTTGAAGTTTGTGATGAAGTCAATCAAGGCCTATACCTTGATCGCAATTCTCAACACATGATATTTATAATTGCTTGAATTATACTGCCTGTTTAAGAAATCGTCCAGAATGATTAACCTTTAATAGCATGACTTTTTTGTGAATGGTCAGTAACAAATGAGATTAAATGCACTTGGAAGTAAGGATCTAGTCATCACGAGGAGATGACTAATGTTGGAGAAAGATTCTCTATGAAAAAAAAAAGATCTAAACTCCTCTAACGATCTTGCTTAATTAAAGGAGAATCATTCACATCCAGCCCTTTTGAGCAGCATTGAGCAAATTGCCACCCCAAGAAGAGGTAATGAAGAGAGTAACTACTTCAATTGAGTGAAGACTCGATCATAGTCCTCAGTCACTCAAAAATGTTTAGCATTATGAAATACTTTAAATATGGAAAGCACTTACACTAGATTTAGAAATAAATCAGCTCAAGCTAGCCACTCCACCTGGTGAGCCGTTGTAAATCTTTTGAAGTTCTTAGTGGCAACACATCAAGATTCAATTTCATATTATCAGGATTCACTTCAATGTCTTAAGAAATAATCATGAACCGACAAAAATTCCTAGTCTTTACACCAACCCACACTTTTATTCGGTGATAACCTGATACATGTATGGCCTAATTTAACAGTTATGAGAATATGACAGAAAAAGGATGATTGTATGTTCAGTTTTTTTTTTTGACTTGCGGAACTAGGTAAGTTAAAATACCTTAAGATCGAGTATATTCATTGCAGAAATCTTCCTTTCGTGTACATGTATGGCCTCCTAAGTCAACAATTATAAGGATATGACAGAACAATGAGGGTTATATACATACATACATACATGTATACATATACATACATACATATATATATATATATACATTGAACAGAAAACAGTTTGTTGGTTTGCCTTCCATGTCTACTCTCTTCAATTATTCATCATATGAGTATAAGATCTACTTATGAATCCTATAAATGGTGATCTAATCAACAATGGAAGCCTTCTCTTTTCTCTCCACCTTATACCTCATGCATGTGCTTAATCTTCTTACATCAATTTGGTTGAATAGGTTCAACATCATCAATTTTGCATCAAATAGGTCCGAGATCGTGAATTCAAGTATGTTGAGATTAGTGATCACAATGACGACGATCAACATGTTATCCCACTTGATCCATAATGTTATGGAGAATGTTGTAGGCTTTAACAAAATGGAAAAATGTTTTTAAAATTTATTGTGATTAACTAAAGAGAAACATAAAATTTATTCTTTTCTTTCTCTTTCTTTCTAATCTTTCATTCAGAAACTAGAAATTTTAGATCCAAGAGCTTAAGAGATGTCTTACAAAACGAATGATTCCCCTAATGTAAATAAGCTTATCCCTTTCCTATGCTATTTCTAAATTTTAAGTGGTAAGGCATAATAATGATAATAATAATAATGTTTGGTATAATAACATCAAAACATTACATATAAAAATGATAATCAAAGGTAATATTTTACCTTACGTAAATACAATGCAGTCCTCAGCTTCTGGAAACCAGCAATTTCCATTCTTCGTATGGTAACAAAAATACTAAACAGCCTCTTCAAAATACTCCTCCATATCATCCCACTCTGTCAAAGACCAACCAGACTCTTTCCTCAAATCCAACTCCCTCATGGACCTCCTTACCTCCTCAGCTTCCTTCCACATCCCCATCTCCACATAGAGATTTGATAACAGCACATAATGTGCAGCATTTTCAGGCTGTAGCTCTACTAACCTCCTTACAGCAAATTCGCTCAAATGCATCTCCTTTCTTGCTCTCGAACCAGACAACAAGGATCCATAGATGACAACATTAGGCTCAAACGGCATCATTTGAATGCATTCTACAGCCGCATCAAGTAACCCTGCCTTTCCATAAAGATCCACCATACACCCATAATGTTTGATCCCTGCTTTAAACCCAAACTTACCTCCAACTACCATGTCAAATATCCTCCGCCCAGGCTCTACCAACCCCGAATGGCTACAAGCTGTGAGGACTCCAACAAGGGTAACAGCATCAGGTCTCACACCTTCCTCCTCCATCCTTAAGAACCATTTCAGCGCCATTGCCCCTCCTTTTGAAAAAGCAAAGCCTTGAATCAATGAATTCCATGTGAACAAACTCCGCTGAGGCATTCTCAAGAACACATCAAAGCCGGCATTGACGCAGCCGTATTTGCAATACATGTCAACGAGAGCCGTACCGAGAACGACGTCAAGCTCCCAACCTGCATGGGTCGCTTGGCGGTGAATCCACTGACCGAAATCAAGGGAGGCGCCATGGGCAGCACAAGCGGCGAGGGTACTCACCATGGTGACGCGGTTGGGCGTGACTCCAGCGAAGTGCATTCGCTCGAAAACGAGCAGAGCGTCTTCCGGGCGGTCCGCCTTGGCAAGGCCGGCGATGAGGGTGGACCAAGCAACTACCCCTCTCAAAGGCAAATCGTCGAACAGGTGGACAGCAGTATCGGAGTCGGAGCATACAGCGTAAAAGTGGAGAAGGGAGGAAGAGATGTAGGAGTCTGAGAGGTGGCCGAGCTTGAGAATGTGGGAGTGGAGAGAGAAGCCGGAATGGAGGAAACGGAGGATGGAGAGGGATTTCAGGATGAGGGGGAAGGTATGGTGATTGGAAGGGACAGAGGAGAGGTGCATCTGGTGGAAGATGAAGAGTGGGGCGGATGAGCGGAAAGCGAGGAGGGAGCGCATCAGAGTGTTGCAGACGAAAGGAGATGGGCGGCGGAGCACGGAGAAAAGGAGAATGGCGGGGCGGGGTGAGAGAAGGGAGAGTGAGCAGGAGATAAAGGCGGCGGAGACGGCAGAATTGACGTGGAGGCCATCGCGGAGGATATCGAAAAGGAGGGAAGGGAGGGAGGAAGAGGAGGTCAGGGTGGAGAGATAGTCGAGGATACGACGAGCTGCAGAGGAGGTGGTAACGGCTGCTTTGGAGGAGGAGAAGAGAGGTTTTGGGGGCTTGGAGGAAAAATGAGGAGGAACGACCATTTGAGAGCCAAAGGAGATTAAACGTACGTATCATAAAGTTTATTTATTTAAGAATTATATATAAAAATACATAAGAAGTTTATATTATGCATTTAAATTCTCTTTTCTATGATTAAGGTTTATTTGAGATGATTTTTAAAATATTTTTAAAGTAAATTTTTAGTATAAAATTAAAATTTTGATTTAAGAAATATGAGAAACCAATCCCAAATGTGAGTGATGTTAATAAAAAGTATGAAAGAATATAGGGAAATTTACATACATACAATTATATACTTAGTATTTTACATATATAACACCTCATTTTTAAATATTACAGTTATATCACTCAAATCCCTATTTCACCTCTATTCTACCACTCCGTCTACTGCGGTTCTTCACGATGCTTGTTCGCACGGTAACGACGATGACTTTAGTTTTTTCGTTTTTAGGGTATCGTTGAGTCGGACGTCTTCACAATCCAAGGTAAAAAAATGAAAACTTTGTTCCGACTTTCTCTTCACGCCATGGAGGTCGGCATTGAGGTCGGATCGTTTATGCAGAGACAGTTTTGTTGAGATTTTAACTTGGATTGATTCCTTTCTTCTTACTTTGTTCCGACTTTCTGCTTACTTGAGCATTGGAGATCGTTTATGCGGCAAAATGTTGGATTGATTTGTTTTTCCGGTCTTGCTTTTGTGCTGTGCTTGCAGAATTTTTTTTTTTGTCAAGCCGACTTTCTCTTCACGGCTTTCAGGTTGGCATTGAGGCATTGATCGTTTATGCAGTTATAATGAGTTCATGGAACTCTGATGAGCAATGGAGTTCATGGAAATTTTTTTTTTTTCAAGCCGACTTTCTCTTCACTAGCTTTCAGGTTGCCATTGGCCGGCAAAATGTTGGATTGATTTGTTTTGTTTTTTGTTTTTTTTTTTTTTGCAGTTATAATGAGTTCGTCAAATTCATCAGTTGTGAGAGCCAGGCGGCATCAATCCCTAGTATAGTGCCATTGTAACCTCAAATGTGTTTTGTTTACCTGTCACCAAGGACCAAATAGTGGAAGATAATTTTATAGGTGTATTTATAATCAAAGTGATGATGATTGTCATTACTTTAAATGGGTTGATGAAGAGGAAGAGCCATGCTATGTCACACGTTACGAATTTAATGCCTTCGACAGAAAGACTTCTAAGAAGCATGATAGGATTCTTCTGATGATTAAAGTTTTTGTTGCGGTTGTTCTTATCGACGTTACCATTCGACTTTATTTTGGCTAGAATTATGTTGTATTCAAGTTGAATGTATGAATGGTTTTAGAGGATGGTAGGTGTTGCATTAGTACTTTATTATGTATTTGTCGAAGGTTAATAGTTCAGGCTTTGCTATGACTTGAGCTAGCCTTTTGTATTAGTATTTTGTATCTTCAAAGTTTTTTGTGGGAATGAAAAAAGTATAAGTTTTTTGTTGGAATGAAGTATTGATATGTCTTCTGTACTTATAGTTTTTGTTGGAATGAAAAAATTATAGTTGTTGCTATGGCTAAGCTATGACATGATTCTTATAAGTTTTTTGTTGCTATGACAGGATTCTTATAGTTGTATCTTCAGGCTTTACTTATAGTTGTGTCTTTTGTACTTATGGTTGTATCTTCAGGCTTTTCTTATAGTTTTTGTTGCTATCTCCAGGCTCTACTTATGCAAAGAACCGAAATTCCTGGAACCGAATTATGTGAACTGAAGCTTTTTCTGTAAAAACTAAAGCTTTTTCTGATGAAACTGAAGCTTTTTCTAATGAATTATGTTACCGAATTCTGTGAACCGAATTCCTGGAACCGAATTCCTGGAATAGAATTCAAAGAACGAAATTTTGAAGCTTTTTCAATATGAAACTGAAGCTTTTTCTGTTAAACTGAAGCTTTTTCTGGAATCGAATTCTGTGAAACTGAAGCTTTTTCTGATAAACCGAATTCATTGGAACCGAAATCTGATGAAACTGAAGCTTTTTCTGAATTTACAGTATCAGCAGCTGGTGTTTCATATTGAAAGCAAAAATAAAAAGGTTTACACGAAAATTTAAAGCAAAGCTTCTATTTCATTTTGAAGATCACAAAAATCTTACTCATAACATCTTTTCCCAAAAGAAGTCAAACCCCAAAAAGTAATCCAAAATAATACTGAACATTTACTTAAAAATCTTCAATATTCGAATACTCGTACTCATCTCCCAACTCCTCTACAGCCCTTCTACTTTGCAACTTTGGACGCTTTGGTTGTCTTACTTGTGTGATAATTGTGTCATTCACCTCCATATTCTTCTGTAATGGGTTCTTACATGTACTTCGATGATGACCCCAAAGATTACACCTACTGCATTTATGTACTTTCTTGTCCTTTTCCAGAAAATTAGGCAATCTTCTTCTTTTGGGTCTTCCTCTAGGTCTTGATGTATTTGGCGCTCCAATCTCAACAGCATCGTGAATCACTTTCCATTAGTCCTTCCCAGGTAACATGCCAATTGCTCCATCGTACGACATCCTGTATCTAAATATCTTGAAATTAGTGTAGCAAGTGTGAAGTGGAAATTGAAATAATCAAATGTAAGAGTTACCGGTGCACGTAGAAGTATTCATGAATGTATGTATGCCATAGTGGATGCTCCTTCATCCCAATGAAAGCAATGGCATGAATGCAAGGAAGTCCTGTTAATTGCCATACTTTACATGTACAGTCTCTACTCTCAACGTCAACAATATGTCTTGAATGTAACGATTCAACCTCAGCTTTGAAAGTAGTAGATTGGCGAACTATTAAATGTTCTTTTCTTGTAGTGATGTCTCTTATATATTCTTCAGCATAAGGAATTATTTCACATTGCCAACTCCAACTTGTCATTTTACGTCTAGCCCTTTGTTCCATGAGTTTACCACGAATCATGTCAATTAAGTCAACAACAGGTTTATTTCTAGCCTCCATTATCCAAGCATTGAATGATTCAGCAAAGTTATTGATATTTGTACCGTGGTATATCCCATACATAAACTGACTTCGTGACCACTTGTAAGGTAATGAGATAAGGTACGTATAGACGGTGGGGTATGATACACTTAATTCAACGAGCTTGTCATTGTACTCTGTCGTTGTGTACGCATTAAATGCTCCCCAAACCAAACCTTGCAGTTTATGCCCATCTTTACAATGAAATTTTTTTTTAATATTCTTCCATAAATGACGAATACAAATTCTATGCTCAGCTACAGGGTACACATCTTTAATAGCCTCGCCCAAGCCCTTCTCCATATCTGAAACGAATGCAAGAGGTTTTATGTGTGTACCAATGCTTTCTCCCAAGTTATGAAGGAACCAAAACCATGTCTGCTTAGATTCAGTTTCAACAACAGCAAAGGCTAAAGGAAATAAACCGTTATTACCATCAAGTGAGGTTGCTAATAAAAGCATTCCTAAGTGCTTGGATTTGAGGTGGCATGCATCCAAACTGATTAGAGGCCTGCAACCATACATGAATCCATCTGTGCACACCTTAAAACTTACATAAAATCTCTGAAATGAATTGTCATGTTGGTCAAACATATATGTGATATGTGAACCAGGATTTCTACCAATCAATTCAACATGTAGTGAAGGCACCCATTTATAATTATCATCAACATAACCAAATATACTTTCACGAGCTTGCTCCCTAGACCTCCACAACTTCATGTAAGGTAATGAAAGACCACACTCTTTCTCTAAATTTCTATTGATATCTTTTGGAGGAACGTCAGGATTCCTTTTGACCATCTCTTTAATCTATTTGGCAACCCATGCAGATGTGGCTAGTATATTCCCAGCACGGTTGATGCCTGGACACGTGTGAACACCATCAACTCTTATAACTTCAAAAGTTTGAGCATCTTCACATAAGGAAGCTCTAATTCTCCATTGGCAACTTTGATAAGAACATGTAGTCAATAACACGTTTCTTATCACTAGCCTTAATCCTAACACCAAAATTCTCTTTGATGGCAACTGATCGCAAAGTATGCTTGAAAGATATTGCATCAGGAAAATATGTGCCAACAGCTATATCTTTATAACATAGACTTGGAACACTCGAAATACAATCATTATAGCCAAAAGAACTTTCAACCATCTCAGAATTTACGAACTCCCTTAGATTGGACATAGATTTATGTACTGTAATAACTATCTCAGCACGCAAATTATCATTAGATACTTTTATGAACTCAGATGCCTCAACGTCAGAATTTAGATCGTTGTATTCTTTAGGTGATGTTCCATATATGTAATAATGCATATTATATGGATGTCCCTTCAGCCAAGGACATATTCGGGCAATCTCGACTCTAACTGCAAAAATCGTGAGTTGTCCTTTCTCAATTTTTACAGTCCTTTGTTTGCCACAATCGTACATCTTTCTATGTTGGTCATTGGTTTGAACCCATATTCCTCCATACTTAAATACAACAGAAATATACTCTTTCTTCTCTCCGTATATATTATTTCCAACATTGTCCTGCATTATTAATGATGAAAACGTTATTTACATTTTTTAATGTGTTTCAAATCAATCAATTAATACTCACGAAGTAAGTCGTCTGGGAACACATCATGAATAACTGCTTCGACAATGATAAACTTCTGTTACTGCAACTGTGAAATACAAAATACATAATAAAATTCATAAGTATCAATGACAAACTTCTGTTACTACAAATGGAAACTTCTTTTACTGTGAAATAAGCACAAACTATTTTAGAATGAAAAAAAGGACGTTCTCATAATACAAAAGGGCATGACTTAATCCACTGCCAAGCTTAATAACCGGTATAGAAATGAAATAAGCACACTAATCCTACTGCTAAACGAGGAACGCCGGAAGAGAAATGTTCGGAGAAAAAATAGAACGCCGGACAGAAATAAGCTTAAAGCGGTAAAAAAATAGAACGCCGGAGAGAAATGTTCGCCTGGTGACAAGCTTCTTTTTGGCAAAAATGGAGGGAAATGTTCGTGAGAAGTAGAACCTGCAGTTCGCCGGGATTGGGAAGAAGTTCGAACAAGCCTGGCGCGAAGAGCTAATTTCAGCGGGAAGTGACGTCCTGATGTAAGCGTTAGACGGCGCGGTAGACGGAGTGGTACAATTGAGATAAAGTAGGGATTTGAGTGGTATAAGTGTATTATTTAAAAATGAGGTGTTAGATATGTAAAATACTAAGTATATAGTGGTATGTATGTAAATTTCCCAAGAATATATTAGGACTTCATTTGAAACAGATTTTTTATTGTTTAATAAATCAAATTTTTTTATATTTTTTTTTAATTTATATTTGAAAGTTAGCTTAGAAAATAATAAGAAAGTTGTCTCAAATAAAAAATATTATTTTTCCAAGATTATAGGCTAAAATCATACACTTCGTGAATAATCATTCATCATTTTCAAATAAATAATTACATTAAAAACTCTAAAAAAAAGAGCTTATCATTTATATAAATTATAAATAGCAATTTTGATTAATTTTATTGCATTAGCATACTTTTGATTAGAGATGCCAAAAAAACTTATTGTTGCTAACATTTGTATTTAGTTAACTAAAAAGGTTGTGTTTGACTCGCTTACTATGAAAATGAGCTGGACACAAACAAAAATTTGTTCGATCACACTAAGCTCATTAAGTGATTGAACTATATATAAAACTATATCTAATATGCTTGATTTAGGGGGGGGGGGGGGGAAGGGGGGGGGGGGGGGGGGGGGGCAAAAATCTCCCAAGTAGTCACGTCCCTTCCCCCTTTAGCAGCTTGGAACGTTAGGGGGTTTAATAACCCTGTCAAAGCCAAGATGTGTAAAGACCTCATATCCACTTATAATCTTAAGCTTCTATGCATTTTAGAAGCTAAAATCCAACATTCTACTTCTGCTGACCCTTGGTTTTCCTTTTCCCATGTTTTGTTTGATAATGAGAAAAGTTGTGACAATTTTGGTTTTTCTACTCCTGGTAGAATATGGGTGAAATGGGATTCTTCTCAACTGTCTTTCTCCCCTTCTTTCACCTCTTCCCAAATCATCCATGGCTTTCTGGAAGCGGGCTCCTTACCCCCTATTTACCTCTCGGCTATTTATGCTTCTAATCTTATGGAAGACAGGAAATTTTATGGGATAATCTTCTTGGTTTATTAGTTAGGATTGACCAACCTTGGATTATCATCGGTGATTTCAACTGATGTAGGTTTGATTGTGAAAAAGTAGGTGCTATTTCTTTTCTGCTGGTAGATTAGGAGAGCTCAAAAGTTTTGTTTTTTATTCCGGATTGCAAGATCTTGCTTATGTGAGGCTTTTTTATACTTGGTATAACCAAAGGATTGATTCCCCCATCCATATTAAACTTGACAAAACTTTGGTTAATAAGGCTTTTTTGGATCTATTCCCGACTGCTTATTACAAAGTAGACCCCCCCTCGAGATCTGATCACTCACCTTTGATTCTGCTAGCTTCTCATGTTAAAATAACCTTCTATAGGTTCACGTTCAAGGATTTTTGGATTAATATGGATGGTATTTGGGAGGAGACCCTCTTGGCTTTTGATAGGCCCAATTGTGCCAATCCTATTGTTTCCTTCTACAATTATTTGAGGCATGTTAAGGAAGCTATCCGTGGAAAAAATTGGAGCTCCTCTAATTACATTTCTAATGCCATTCTTGAGATGAAAAACTTTCAACTACATTTCTAATTCCATTCTTGATATTCAGAAGGACCCTTTGAATCTTGTCTTGAATTCTTCTCTCAAGAATGCTAATGACAAGTTGGCTTATTTGCAAGCCGCTTAGTCCTCTTGGATTTCTCAAAGAGAAAAAGCCTATTGGCTCTCTCAAGGGGAGGATGATCTTGGTTTCCTTTATGTCAAAATTAGATCTAAGAAGAATAGAAATGCTATAAAAGAACTTTCTTCTCCCGTTGGACTTCTTTCTTCCCATAAGGATATGGCAAATGCTTTGATTGGTTGCTTTAAGGCTCTTTATAATGCTCCCACTCTTCATATGGAAAGCTCTTATAACATCCCGGTTGGAAATAAGGTTCCGGCTCATATGCTTGCGACTTTAGTTGCTCTGGTTACCAACGAAGAAATTAAGAATGTGGTTTTTGCTAGTGCTCCTTCCTCCGCCCCGGGTCCTGATGGTTTTTCCTTTAATTTTTACCAACATACTTGGCACATCACTGTATTTCAATTATGTAAGGCTGTTAAGCATTTTTTTTCCTCTGGGTAGATGCCTAGAGGTGCTAAAGCCATGCCCATTACCCTTATTCCTAAGGGTACTCATTCTAACTCTATTTCAGACCTTAGACCTATTTCATTATGTAATGTGTTCTATAAAATCATGGCCTAGATTATTACAAATAGGATGAAGCCCATTCTTCCTTCCATTATTCATGAGCTCAATCTGGTTTCATTGCTAAAAGATACTCCACTAACAACATCATCTTAGCCTCTAAAATTTTGAAGGACTTTAAAGGACATCATAAATATTTTTGTGCCAAGCTTTACATTAAAAAAGCCTTTGACTCGGTCGCCCATACTTTTTTGATTAATGGATTAAGGCAAAAAGGTTTCCCGAGGTCTTTTATCAATTGGATTAAGGGTTGCATTTCTGAGGTGCATTTCTCTATTTGTCTTAATGACTTTTTAGAAGGTTTCTTTAACTCCTCTTCAAGGCTCCATCAAGGATGCCCACTATTCCCCCTTCTATTCTGCATTGTTATGGATGCTCTTTCTTCTTGCATGGATATTCAGGATCAACACTCTTTTAAGGGGCTTCAACAGAATAATTTAAGTATCAATAATCTTATGTATACTGATGTTCTTCTGGTTTTTCGTATGGCCACTATGGAGAATGCTATTTTCCTAAAAGGCATTATTCATAGTTTTTCTGATGCTTCAGGCCTTCATGTTAACCCAATCAAAAGTTCATTTCTTTTATCTAGAAAAGTTCATAATGAGCATGAGATCTCTACTTCTCTTGGGATCTCACGGGTTGAGAACTCTCTCACCTATTTGGGCCTTCCCATTTCTACTAGAAGGCTAAATTCCACTCACTTCCAACCCATACTGAGCAGAATTTCTGCTCTACTTGAGGGTTGGAAAGTTAAATTCTTTTCTTTTACAGGCAGAGTGCAGTACCTAAAATTCACTATTACCAACACTATTACCTATTGGATTTGAGGGGCGATTATTCCTAAGGCTAGCTGCAAATTTATCTCAAAAATATGTTCTAAATTTCTTTTCTTTGGTAACATAAAGGAAAAGAAGATGAACCTCATTTCTTGAAATTATGTGGTTATGCCTAAATGCAAGGGTGGATTAGGGCTTCCTTCCTTTGATTCTCTTTATCATAATATGGCTTGTTCTTTTATCTTAAGGATGTACAACCACAACACTATGGTTGGCTATTAGTTTAAGGAGAAATTTGATTCTCCCTGGAAAACGCCTCCTAATGTTGCTTCAAAGTTTTGAAAACTTTTTTGTCACACAGCTTCCTCTATTTTGAGTTCTGTCTCCCTCTTGGATCATAAAAAATGCAACCTCTCCTTCCTTTGGGATCCTTGGTGCAATAAAAAATACGTATCATATTTTTTTAACTCTATCTTGCTTACCCATAGATGGGTTAATGAGTTCATCTCTAACGGACATTGGGTTCTTCCCGATTACATACATGTTGATGTTAAAACAACTATTTTGGGAATTGACGTTGAGGAGGAGCAACCAATTTTTATTTGGGAGGGATCC